AAAAGAAAGAAGAAATGCTTCAGTTATAGCTAGATTTTTGGTTACTGTAGGGATTAATAGATTAGCATATTTGTTTATATTATGAATATTTGTATTAATTAGTGTAAGTTGAGTAGAGTTTAGATTTGGCATGTGTTGAAGAGTTCTAATCACTTTATTGATTTTTTGTAGAGCTGTATATAGATATGTTGCCTTCCTCATGAAAGTATAGTAGGTTTTGGATACAACTTTAGTTTAAGGAATATTGTTGTTAGCAGCTTGTTTGATTGCTTAGTTGAGTAGATGCTAATATTTATTGAGTCGTGTGTCTGTTTTGATGTCTAGATTTAATTCTTCTTCATGTGATTTGAGGAATTTGTTTATATCTTGTGAGAAATCAATCCAAGTATCTGTTGTGATTTTGTCATATGAGAAGATGTGTTATTTATTTTTCTTTGTTCTATATTTTTGTATATGTGTTTTGGAATGCTATTCAATTTAGATAATTTTTGATCACTATTAGTGATTAGTTTAGCAGTAGTCAATTCTAGCGTAGATATTGTAGATATTAAAGTTGATGAAACCTATATATCTTCAATTTGGCTATTTGAAAAAGATCTTGACTATGTAGGAGAGCTTATATTAAAGTATTTTAGGAGACTTTTCATATTCTTTGTATTTATTGTATTGAATAGTTGTAGAGTAGGATTGTTATGCTTGTTTATGTCTGAATTAAAATCTCCGAGAATAATAATCTCAAAGTTGTGTATGATTGTATAACTGATCTAATTAGTAATCTTTTGTTGAGTTTGAAGATTTAGTAAAATATTGTTAGATGGGAGGTAAACTAAGATTATTTGAAGTCTTTGGTTTTGCAGAAAGAAAAAGTCAATTAAAATAGCAGTACCTAGTTCAGTTTGGATATTGTGGATGTATAGTTGGAGAGGTTTAGAGATTGCTATTGCAGTTCCTATGCTTAATTCTTGTTTTTTTGCTATTGTTTTGTTGCAGTTTGATATGTAGATATAGTAATAAGGGTTAGTAAATTATAGCTTGTTAAATTTGGAATCAGCAATTTTTGTCTCTGTTATGCTAATTATGTTGTAGTTCTTTTTGTTACAGTATTCTATTTAAGTCTAAAATTTTAGAAGATCATTGATTCCTTGTATATTTCGAATTACTATTATTAGTATATTAAATTCATTATTTGTTGAAATATGAGTAGATGTTAAATTATGTGTTTAGTTTTTTTCTTTTCTTTGGTGTATACTTGTCATGATATAAATTAGTTAAAAATATCTCATGTTGGTTCTAGAAATGGAGGTAAGTTGAGTAAGTATTCTAGAATTTTTGCTATTTTGAAGTATTGTCTTAGTATTGCAAGTATAGATAGAATATCTTCTTGTTTCTCAATAGGTAGTATGATATGTATTTCCTCTTCAGTTTTTTCTAGTGCTTCTTGGAGTTGAACCAGTATAGCTAGTATGTAGAGTTTAGTAGCTTGGTCTGAAGCTGGTGTAGTTTAGGAATCTTCTTTTATGTTTTGATTTATTTCGATCTAAGTATCATAGATTTTGTTAAAGTAGTAATAAGGTCTGAGCATTCTTGCTATATCAATAAGTTGGTATATTGATGATATAGGAATTGTTAGATTGAAGTCTTCAATTTCATCTGAGTTGAATGGAAGTATAGGTTTATCAGTAGGATTCGTGGTCATGATCTCTAGACTGATAAAAAAAATTATCTTGTATTTGAAGCGAGCAGCTATTAAAAATTCTTTTGCTATATTATCATCTATAATCGAGTATATGTATTCTGTTTTAATTTTTATATCTTGGGGTTGTTTGGTAATATAGGCTTCTGTTTGAAGAAATTGTTAGAAATTACTTTAAATTTGTAATATTCTCTAAGCAAAGAAACTATTTGTTATAACGAGATACTGCTATTGTTAAGATCTATTGGAAAAAGGTGTTAAACGTGACTATTGAGTTTTTGATAAGTTGTTGGAAGGAGTTGCTTTGGTAGTAGTAGATTAAAGTAGCTTGAAAGAATTCTTTCAAGATCAGAATAGTTTGTTAGTTTCTATTTATATACATCAAGTCATGATAGTTGGCTAGGATTAGTAATAGGAAATAGGTTCTTAAGTTTTTCCTCAGTTATCTGATCATGGTATTCTAGTAGTTTGAGTAGTTTGGTAAAGTATGAATCTGGTAGAGTATTAAATTTGTAGATTAGTCATAGTGCTTTAACAATTACTCTTGTTTGTGATCATTTGGTAATAGGAAGGTTAAATAATAGTATTTCTATAGTTTCAGTATTAATTTTTTATGATATTTCTGGTAGTATCTTTTTAAGAGAATCATAAGCCTAGTTTGTGATATCTTGTATTGCCTTGAAGTTTTTAATAAGTTTTGCCTTCACAAAGTTTTTACAGTATTTGATTATTTGAGATACATAATAAGGTTCTATGCATCTGAAATTAAAGTTAGTGAGGTAGTTAATTGCAATTTTTTGTCTAAGCTTGGATTGAATTGCATCTTTAGTTGCTTTGTTTGTTAGGATTATATTGTTTTTAGATTTGTATGTATCAATAGCTTGAATAAGTAGATTGAAGTATTTAGTTTGATATGTAGGTGTCGTGTGTTTGTTGTTAGTAAAGAACTTAAAAAAAGCTGAATCTCTATAAAAGAATTTTAGTAATATTGCATTAGAGATAGCATATTCAGTAGGTAGTATTAATAATTTGTATTGAATAAATTCTCGCATTAGAGTTAAGTCCTTAAAAACTTCTATGATTTTGTCTTTTGGCCACAATTCATTATCAAACTTGTTTTGTAATTTGTTTTCTAGTGCTTGAGCGATGTGTCAAGTCCAGTTAGTTTTATAAATATTTTGCAGATTATTATTAGTTAGGAATGGATCTGATTGTAGATTAGTTTTAAGTGCTTGGCTATATAATTAGTGATTATTATTAGAACTAGTAGATTAAGTAAGATTACTTCTATTTTTGGAAGCTACATGAGTTGTATCATCTGTTGCATCTGAATTTGTTTCTGCAGTAGATCTGTTGTTGTATTTCCTAATTTGATCATTTGTTGTGTTAGAAGTTCTCATAGTTTCTGTATTGTTGTTGTTGTTGCTAGGATCAGTTGTTGTTATGTTGTTATATATAACGAGTGATGTCATTGTAAATTCTGATAAGAGTAAGCTAGATTGCCTACTTTTTGTCTTTTTAGAAAAATTATTTTTGTGACTAGAGTTGTTGTAGTGACATTTTTTGGGAGAGTTGTCAAGTATTGGCTCAATTTCTTCTATTTGTTTTTGGTTTACAGTATTTTGGTGTTGAGTTAGTGTTTTTTTCATGTTTTTAGTTAGTGTAGAGTGAGATAAGACTGAGTCCAAAGAGAACCAGAGCTTGTTGTTTGGTATGTTTTTGTTCATATTTAGTGAGTTTATAGTACTGTTGTTAGATAGTGAAAGTATATAGTGTTGTAGCTTTCGTTTGTAACCTATTTTGTTATTTACTTAATTATTTAAAGAGGTTTTTATAAGGTTTTATTATTTTTTACTCTGTTCCATAATATGGTTTTAGGATCTACGGGAAAGAGTTTTTTTTTCTGGAACCAAACATTCTTGTAATATTAAAGAACTGAATAATGTAAATATGTTATACAAGAATTCTGAATGTTGTGCTTATGGAATTGTTCACAACAGACCTCAGATATCTTTGGTGAAATTTCATGATTTTAGAAGTAAATAATGGTTTGTGAATACTACATGTAACAATGTAGCTGCTGAAATTTAGAGGAGTAACTTCAGAACTCATCATGAGTTACACTTTAAAATTGCAATACTAAAATTTAAAACTTAATTGCAGCACTCACCTCTTTTTTTTTTTTTTTTACAAATTACAAATTACAGTATCTAATTATTTTTTTTCCTTAACAAAAAAGAATTCATCTAGCTAGCACCAACTGCTAATATCTCTCATGACTATACTAGTGTGATTCCTCTGAAAAATTAGACAATTACAAAATATATGAATTGTCATACTGTGTTTTTGATAGATGTAGTTACCTCTGAACTAATTAAAGATGCATCTTTTATTAGGTCTGAAGAGGTTAGTTTTAAAATGTTTAAAATTTCATGTTAATTTCTTTTATAGTTTATATGTATCTTTTTTTTTTTTCTTTGATGCTTAAATAGGCAATATCTTTTCCTTTATAATACATAAGCTATTGCTTATATTAGACACTTGCATAAACATTTTGATTTTGACACTTGAATAAATTTGCTATAATTAATGAATTTTGTTAAATTACTAAATAAAATAAAATTATTAGAAAAAAGAAATTAACTTTAGCTTCGATCATCAATGACATTTATAGATGTTAATTTTCTTCTTGTTCATCAGTATGATTAATACAGTATATAGAATCATGATTAATCAAATGCATTGTTATGCATAGATGCATAATAAGATTCTTTTAGTTTTGTATAGTGCAGGTTTCACGCTGAAAGTTTACTTAAAGTTAGTTTTTTTTTTTTTTTTAATAATAATTTTAGAAAAATATGTGTGGTGAAATTATGTCATCAAATCTCAAATTTTGCACTACTTTTTACTACTGTATTTAAGGAGTTATAGTTCAAGAGCTATCAATTGTAGCGACAAAACCAATTGAATAATATCTTGATGAATATTCAATCATCTTAATCAAAAATCATGCTTTTGACTCCAAAAAATTATATATATAATACATTTATTATTAAATTCTGATACAGTAATATCATTACAATTATTTAAATTCTGTAAAGTATTTGGCACTTTTCTTAGTGAAATAGTCATGTGGCTTCTGAAGACTCCCTAAGAAGTAAATGAAGTATTCAAAGGATACAAGGTTTATTTATATATAGTATTGCTAAAAATGATATTAGCAAAAAGCCCTTGAACGGATGATTCAGTTTACTTAGGATACCATATATCTTTAAATTATAATTTACATACAGATTTGTCGGAAAAAGTACATTCGTTAAAAATTTGCAGAAAAATTTGCAAAGGGATACTCCTACAAGTTAGGGACGTAGCTATTAATTTACTATAAAGCCCTCCTTTCTAAGTATTTGGTAATTCTGATTGTTTATACATCACTAGTTATACAATATAACTTGCATAACGATAATATAAAAATGCTTCTGACATCTGGATATATCAGACAATTTCTTTATTTTTTGAAGTATCGATACGTATATAACCAATTTAGATGCATATACGTATATTTAAACCTGAAATTTGCTTATACCTCTACCTTACAATATTAGCTTATTAGTTGATATCTGACGTATCAGTATCCTTTAAATCAAATTAATTTACTGTATGATATTTAACATAACCCTTTATTTTCTATGTTTCTCTAAAAAATTTTTTGTCAGTCCTTCCATTCGACCTAAAATTTCATTCACTACCAAATATTCTTTCCCAAAGTTAATCTTCTTAAATCAGATTTGTTAGTTCAATGATGCAATGTGACATCACATTTTTTATAGCAAAATTAATACTATTTGATGCTTTATAAATATAAAAAATAATTAAAAAATTAAAAAAAAAATTAAACTATGACAAAAAAAAATGAAATTATTGAATTGTATAGGATTAATGAAAATGATGATGATCAAATAGAAGAGTCAACGTGATATGATGTTTTGCAGTCTCAAGGAAAGCCTTTAGTTTTGGAAGAATTGGCTTCCTTAGAAAAAGTTCCTGACAGGATGCCAAATGGTATTGTTTTCACTTACAAATGGTAGAATCCAAAAAATTGATTACTATATTAAATTTTTCTCTTTATTTACGCAGTTATATTTTTAATATATATATGTGAATTTTGCGAAAGATTTGCCTTTTGGTACTAACATTTCTCTATCTCTTAAACTCTCGATCTCAAGAAGATTACTTGTACAAGCAATATTAATATCCAAAATTTTTCTAAAATTTAAGGGGTGCGGTGGGACCTTTCCAGAACTATATCAAATTTCCTGTTCCAAAGGATAAATATGGCCAGCCTAGGGTGATTGGTGCAGGTCAACAAACTGTGACAGTTCTTAACCTTTTCTTCCAATTCTTTTGTTTTATTATTTCTGTTTTTAGTGCTATCCTAGCAGATCAATATTTGGGAAGGTACAGGACAATCATTATCTTTTTTCTAGTATATATTACTGGATTGATTGTTTTAATCCTCACGGTGACTCCACCCACAATCGAAGCACAAGCTTCTTTATCAGAACTTATAATCGCAATAATAATAATCGGGTTTAGAACTGGAGGAATAAAGGTATTTTAGGTTATGGAGGAATTTCATACACAAAAGTATTAAAATATAAATTATCTTTATGTAAGACAAATACTGTTACTATAGCTGCAGATCAATTTTCTCATAAAGATCCTTATGTCAAAACTTTGAAATCTGAAAAAAAGTTATTGTTAATCCAGAACTCACCATCTCATCAATGTTCCATTGGTTCTACCTTTCAATAAGTTTTGGTTCTCTTTCCCCATTAGTTACAACTACTGTTAAAAAATATCATTCATTTTAAATGGCTTTCCTAATTCCCACAGCAATCTTTCTCATTTCGATATTAATCTTTGTATTTGGAAAAAATATATATGTTAAAGTACTACCACATAGTTCAGCATTATTGGATTTGTTCAACGTTTTGCGTATTGCTTTTAAACATGGTAGAAATCTTGATAATACAAAACCATTAAATGTTTTATCTGACATTGCAAAACAATATAAAATCAAATGGGATGATAAATTTGTGGATCAAATACGAGCTTCAATTAGGGCTTATAGAGATATTCTAGGATATCCAATCTTTTGGGTTTGTTTTATGCAAATTTATAATAATTTAATATCTCAGGCTGCTACAATGACAGTTAATTTCATACCAAATGATATGATGTATAATCTGAATCCTATTACTTTGATTATTTTCACTCCTATTGTTAATCATGTCATGTAAGTATTTTAATTCTAACTTAATACTATATAAAATATACTGTATACATGATCTTTGCTAGAAAAAATGACCTTCTGTAACTATGTAGATTTATTATCCAATTTGAATAAACTTTTTTTTATTTTTTATTTCATAACTCTATGAAAAAAACAAATTTATTCAAATTGAATTATTAGATCGCTGGTAAATTTTAAAATTTAAATAGTCTCAGAGGGTCATTTTTCTAGTAAAGATTCTATATATATGTATATATTGCAGTCTTATTAAAAGAAACTTTATCATTATTTTAAAAGTTATCCTGCCTTGAGACGAATTAATATCAATTCTCGTCCTATGACATGTATCTTGATTGGTTTCGTAGTAATCACTTCTGCAATGTTATATTCAGCAATTATTCAATATTTAATTTATAATACAGGTCCATGTTATGAGAAAACTCATTGTATAATCGATGATAAACTAGTTCCGAATAATATTAGTGTTTGGTGGCAGGCTCCTGTTTATATCTTAGTCACATTCTCAAAAAGTATGTTTAATAATTTATATATATATATATATTTATTTATTTTACTTTTATTTATTTTAATTTATTTTTATTAAAATATATCATTAATCATAACCATTTATTAGTTTTAGTTTGTATCACAGGTCTTAATTTTGTTTACAATAAGATAACTTTTTTGTAATCCACTCTTATATTTATTTATACGAATGACTAAAAATTGTATACAAATAAATGAATAAACATGCTACGTAGGCACCATTACGACTTAAATCTACAATAACAGATTTATACTTAATGACTTTAGCTGCTGGATCCGTACTAGATTTTGTTTTTGTTCCGTTATCAAAAGATCCTTATCTAGTCTGGTTATATAGAACTTTTGCCAAAGTTGCACTGATTACTGGAATAATTATATTTATATTTTTGAGAGATTTCAATATTGAAGAAAATCTGTTCGAAGAAATTATTTAATGAACAAAATAATCAAATGATTCAAAAGAACGGATTTATATATGTGCAGATATATGTCTAATATTTATATAGTTGGAACTTAAACTATAAACTTTTAATATTCACTTTATTTCTTCAATAAAAATATTATTATTTTTTCAATAAAAATATTATTATTTTTGAACTTAAATTTCAGATTTTTTTTTTTTTTTTTTTTTTTTTTTTTGATATTATCGTTTTTTAGTAGTTGTTTTTATTTTTTAATAATTAAGAAGAGTGGTCACAAAATAATAATAGATATAAGCGAAATTTTTGCTCTATTGATAAACTGCCTTATCGCACTATTATCCTTGTGACTAGATTTTATAATTTTAAGGGTAGAGTGTATGTAGATCATTTTTACTATGATCTGTATGGTAAATCCTATTTTTGGTAAAAAATGAACACATGTATATAAAATAGAATATATCTTTTTATAAAATTTTAAAGTATATTAATTATAAAAAATTTGTACTTTTATATATCATAAAGTTTTTCTAGGTTAACCCAAATTTGCCTAGATAGTACAAAATAACCTATTCTAATTGGTTAATTTTTGCAATTCTATAAGATAAATTTCATAATAAAAAATTATATACAATCTTTAAATTCTAATATATCGATGAGTTTTTAACCAATTTTAATAATTTTATTACTGATAGAATCACAAGAATCTACTCTACAACTTTATTTAGAAGCTTAAAATAAATTTAATTAATAAATTATTTTGTATTTTAAATTACAAAAAATATTTACCATTGAGTTTATATATAATTTTAAAATAGTATACTCTACCCTTAAACCTAGATAACTGAATTGAATATAAAAAAAATTGAGTAAGTAGATAACTTTTAGTTGTTCATATAATTATAATATTATATAATTAGTTAGATTTCTGATCATACAAAGACTGGCTAATCAAAATATTTTATAACTAGAATCTAATTATTCATTTTCAGAAAATCTTTTAAATTTATTTTCTAATTTTAAAATTATTAAAATATTTAACATATTAAATATAATAGTTTAATTTTAATTATCATTTATTTTTTTTTATTAATAAATTAATTTTAGACTATAATAATTATGAAAAAGATATTGATACTAAAATTATTTTAAAAATCTTAAAACATTTTCTATTAGTTCATTAATAACTTCTAAATTAATTTGATTTATTATGAATAATTACTCTAATATTATTAATATTGAATTATCTATAGATTCTTTTTGTTTAAACTTCAATTTACTTTTTTAAAATGAAATTTTTAGAATCTTTTTACTTGTATATTTTATCTGATTTTGAAGGTTATAATTTTTATTTATTTGCTAAAAATATGATTATAATGAATTTTAACTAAATATACAACCTTAAAACTAATTTATCTTCAAGATATACTTAACTAAGATTTGTTTAATCTGTATTTATATAATTCTAGATTTGTGTTACATTATAACTTATCTATTTAAAGTTCTTACTATATTTCTTATATTACTCATATATTTATACAAAGCTACTTCCTAATAGATCTTCATTCATTACTAATTGTTAGTATCATAATCCTTATAGTCATTTCTTATTTTAGATATTCTGACTTAAGAATATCTTTATTAGTATTTGCACAATACTAAGACATGAAAGTAATTACTTATTTTGAATTATATACATATATTATATTCATATGTCTTTTAGAGAACTTCTGTATATTAGTAGATATTAGCTGTATTTTATAATCAAAAATTACTTCTAACTAGATTTGTAACATATAGTACTACTTCTAGTTTTCATCAGAAGAAGTTAGTATTTAATGTTGGTATGAGATCATTTAATATTTATTAACTAATAATCTAATGTATTTTAGCTAATCAAAATTGTTTATTAAAAAATTAAATTTTTACATATAATAATAAATATAAAAATAACATATATATATTATCTCAAAACTTATAATGATAGTTAAATAATATCTGTTTGAGAATTTGTAATATATTTTGCATTTTATATTTTTAAAAAATATATATTTTACTTTTCTAATATTATTTTAAAGTATATTTTTATATTTTATTTATATAACTAGAAATTAGACTCATAAAAACTTGTGACTTATAAGTTAAATTTTGAAGAGTTTTGAATTAACTTAAAACATATATTTGAATTATTTTTTCAAATTAAAGTTTGAGTAATTTAGTCAATTAAATTAAAAATTTATTAAAAATTCTTATAAAACCAAATAAAGTATATTTTAAATTACAAATACAAAAAAAAACAATAGAGGTTTTAAAATTAAAAAATAGATACCTATTTTAAAAGAATTATTTGTTTCAAAATAAATAATCTTTTAATCTATTTATATTAATATAAGCTTATTATATTATTATATTTATCAACAGTGCTTTATAATTATTTGACTATATAAACAAAAAAATTTAAACACTATTTTATTTTCCTATTTCAAAATTTTAATTTAAAAATTACAAATATAATTTTTTTTAAACTTAACTGATTTTTTTTTTTTTTTTTTTTTTTTTTTTTACTTTATACAAATACCATCAGCTGAATTTTTTTATTGGTATTGATAGTGAGTAAATAATACATATTGTGAGAGTACAACTAGCCACACTACAACTTTAGATTGTCTAATTTAAATAGTTCACCCGAAGGTTTTACACTAGCTGCTATACATGAAATCTATTTGAAGATTACCTATTTAAACTCTCTGGCCCTATGATACTTACTCGTATTCTATCTTGTTTTACCAAATTCGTCTAACTCTGTGCTACTTCTTCTAGAAGACAACTGAGCTGACATTAGTTCACAAACTTTATAGTTCGGAGCCTAGACCCTATCACAAGGTGTCCCTTCACTAACTCCATAACTGATGGGATGCTGTGGTACCCAACTATGCTACGCTATATCCCAATTTAGCTTGCATATACCCTTATTCGATGTTCGTACAAACCTGGTTCCTACTGTGACCTTCCACTGGATCGGTCCTCTATGTTTTCAGATGTTTACAAGACAGATCCTCCCAATCCAGTTAGCTGCTAAGCCAGATTGGTGTTGCCGTATAACCTTGTGTGATGGACTTACTCACACCCGCTCAGTCATATCTTTCAGCTACAAATTTCTTTATTGGATCAGGTGTAAACCAGTATGACTGTCAAAATCCATACTACTTCACCTAACTCGGGATTTCTACTATGCAGGTCTCCTGTTCATAGATCAGTATGCGTATATCATCCTGTGATTAACTACCCCCATACTAATATTTTTCCTATCAAGATTTATTTGTGTAATATTATGCCTCGCTGAACGCTCCGTCATACTTCTAATACCCCGATTGGCATTGGTGCAATGTGATTTACAGGGTTACAACTCCAGAAACGAGCAGAGTTTACCGTAAGTTGGATACAGATATCTAAGTAATTATTCAATTCTGTATATAGTAGGATTTGAACCCTAGACCTCTTACATGGCGGTCTAGCAACCTAACCACTACACTAAGATCACTAGATCCCTGTATTATCGATATTGTATTCTAAATAAAGTATAATCTTTGCTCTTTCATTAACTTTGTAACGAACTACCACAGTGAAGTAATATTCCACTTGGATACCGTTGAGAGCCTCTCTTCCGTGTCTTATGTTATTTGTGTTGAATAAAGAAGGCTAACACTTGTAACATTTTGGTACCTTCTGGCAGAAAAACAAAGAAACACTCTCAGAAAGATAATTAATTAAAGAAACTTTAAAGAAGCCCTAAAGAAACTTTTCTTAAAGTTAAGAAAACCTCTCTTTTCCTCTCTGACGATCTCTAAAGAAGTCTCTCTTAGAAACCAAGAAGCCTCTCTTTCATCCTTTGCTGATCCCAATTTACGTCACATCCGGTCTATGTTATATGAACTCTAAAAAAGAGATCTATGACTTCTAGAATAGATCTACGTCATACTGTAGTATGAAAAGAGAAAAATCACTCTATATTGCCCCAGACTAAAGAAGATCTATTTCACATTATACAAACTTTTCAAAGTTGAATTTAGGCCCAAACTATATCTATTTATATCTACTTTAAAGCTAGCAGCTTACTGCGATCCCCAGGTTAGAAATATCTGAAGAATGAGTACCCGATGAGCCAAATTTGTAGGCGTAAGGACTCTAATCAGCTAGTAGCTTACTACGACCCCTAGGTTAGGAACACCTGAAGGATGAGTACCCCATGAGCTAAACTTGTAGACGTAAGGACTCTAATTAAAGCTAGCAGCTTATTGCAACTCTCAGGAATAGAAACTTCTGAAGGACGAGTACCCCACGAGCCAAAACGTAGATGTAAGGACTCTAACAGCTAGCAGCTTACTACGAACCTTAACATAGAAAAGTTAAGTGTGAATTACCCATGAGCCAAACGAGTAGGCGTAAGTAATTCCAAATGCTAATTCGTAGTCTCAGATACCCCATGACCCAAAGTGTGGAGTAAGGTACCTTATCACCCAACATATATGAATAGAGCATATCAGATACATATAGAAAGAATACAAGCACACAATTCACGACATCAGAATACAAGTCAAGCATATACAGTACTTCAAACTCTAGACCCAGATTTATCCTGTCAGCTGTGCTATCCAAGAACAAACCTTCACAGATCATATCACAACTTTTGAAATTGGTATAAACGAACCTACTACGCCCAATCTTATTCTCAACAAACTATAACTGCACATCTAGAATTAACTAATAGCTCTACCTACTCTAGAGCTAGAGTAGTAGCACATGACATAATATTTAGTTATCGATATAATATCCCTATAAACAACCCTAAAAATATTGTCGAAACCCTTCTAATTAAATATACTCAATATACCTTATAATCTTATCTCCCTTTTGGCTTTGAAGCTACAGCCTTTGACATCTATATTGAATTCCTAGCTAGTGCCCCTACTCTCAACCCTTATTTAAATAGAACCTCAGAAGAAGCTTTAGGTGAT